CTTTTTGCATGATTCCATTTCTATAAGACTGAAAAAAAGCACACACATACAATTGTGTGTTTAAACACATATATGTGTAAGTAACTGCCTAGAGAAAGGGTTCTCAGAACATACACCAAACTGGGCAGTGGGTAAGAGAGATGAGGGTATATGTGGAGGGACATATTTCTATTTTACTTCACGTACTTCTGTGCTGCTTGATTCTTTTACAACGCAAATGGTTTAATATATTAGGTTTACAGTGAGAGCCACATTCCCAACTGCTCCTGGCAAAAGAAGAGGCTGATTTCAGGACTTGGAGCTACCCCTTCTCCAACCACCTGCCCCCGCCCAGCTGAGTGGTCAGGTCAGGTCCACGTTGCTGAGTTGTCTCTGGGTATCTGTCCTTGTGGGCACCAGGTATTCTCAGCCCACACCAGAGGTCAAACATGGAACACCCGTCATCTCTGTGTAGCCGTGACCCCATGCTCCCACCTACCCATCTACCCTTTGGCATCTCAAGCCCAAGACTGGCTTTTTAAAGTACAAGTCCTGCTGATGGTATTTCCTGGCCATGCTGAAATATGTCTCCTGGAGGAGGAGAATAAGGTCAACCACCGTGACAAACAAAACCAAGAGCGGAGGGCCAGTGTGTGGATTGTGTTGATGACTGTGGCTTTCATTTCCCCAAGGCAAACCTCAGGAGGCGGTGGTCAGGGTTTCTCATTTTCATGCTGAGGCTTTTTGGGAAATTTCAAAAGTTGCCACCCACACCTTGTTAGGGGAGGGAGAGGAAACTTCCTCTTCAGGGTGGGTTGGGGATTGTGGGAAGACCTTTGTGTGAGACCAAGTGTCATGCAGAGACAGCAAGAGAGAGACTGAGAATCAATTCCTTCTCCGAGGGGTTAATTAAGGTGTGGGGAAGTTTGCAATCTTATTCAGAAGTTAACATCTGAGTATAGATTTGAAGGAGGTAAGAGATGAAGCCATGTGGGTGTCAGACAGAAGAGTACTCCAGAGACAGAGAACAGCAGTGCAAAGGCCCTGAGGTAGGATTGTGTCTGGTTTGTTGGAAGAACAGAAAGGAAGCCTTTGTGGTGTGGCAGGAGCTAAGGGAGTAGGCGGTGAGCAGAAGAAGACAAGGTCAGAGGAAAGGGAGAAAGGTGGAGAGTGAGAACTACCTTGACATCTTGGAAAGACTTTGCCTTTTATTCTAGGTGAGTTGGGAAACCACTGGTGGTCTGAAAGCCAGAGAGTACATGATCAGGTTGACGTTTAACAGGATGCCTCTGTCTGCTGTGTTGGAAACAGACTGAGCAAGTAAGGGAGAAAGTGGGCAACTGCAGCTGACCAAAAGAGAGACAGGAGTGCTGAGATACTAATGGAGTGACCTGCAGCATCAGGAGGCTTGGGAAACAGATTGCTGGGCCCTAGCCCTGGAGCTGCTACCTGTTAGTATGGGGGGTGTACAAGGAATTTACATTTCTACAAGTTCCCAGGTGATGATGATACTGCTGGTCTGGGGGCCACACTTTGAGAACTTGTCTTTGTAGCACTGAGGAAAACATTTGTTTATCAAAGTTCTCAAGGAAGCACATTGCTCGCTCCTGTGTTCCCAGCACCTAGTGTGATGCCTGGCACCAGTCTTGATCGAGCTCAGGCTCTGGGCCATGCGTGGTGCTATTGAATGAGGTTCATGAGGATCCCAGGTTTGAACTGTTTGGGGGTAACTGGTGATGAAACTTTCACAGGAAGTGGTCATTAAAGGGAAAGGATTCCTTGTAATAACAATAGCAACAGGTGTGACACCTACCCAGTGTCTGCCTAGGTGTTTTACTTGTATCTCTCTCCAATTAAATCCTGTAAATGCCCTGGAAGTCGGGCATTATCCTGGGATTTTTATGAATGAGAGAACCAAGGCTTGGAGAGTTTAATTTTCCCTGGTACAAGATTAATAAGTACCAGAACCCAGCCAGGCCTGACTGTTTAATCACAGGCCGCCTCAAGAAGTCACTGACAAGACCTAGTAATTAAAGAACCTCGAGAAGATAGGAGTTTCTTTCTTTGCGGACTGAGAGCCTTTTTAAAAGTGCAAAGAATATGCCATCCTTTAAAAACAAAATGCTTCCCATCTAAATTGAGATTCCTGTTCACACATGTTTCGAGCCTCAAGCCCTTCCTGGCAGAACCCTGGTAGCAGTGGCTGTCCCAACAGAAGTATTTTTTGCTTTTTTGCTGACTTTTGTGGCTTTTAGCCTTCTCTGATGGAGCACTTTTCCTTCCCTATCCCTCTTCTCAGCCTCCTTCGGTAGGATGAAGGGTGTAAGACTTTGTGCTGAGGAGCTGAAGCTTGACAAATTGAAGTCTAAACGGAATCCGTGTATCTTGATAGGGAAGAAGAAAATCAAGTTCCAGCACTTCCCTCCTTATCCGCCTCTCTTTTTCCTACCCTTCCCTGAGGATAAAAATAGCCGCTTCCCAGGGCCTCACTGCAATCGAGCGTGCTGAAGCTGGGCCTAGCGTGAGAGCAGCTGCTCCCCGAGGCACGGGCTCCTCCGCGAGAGCCCTGGGGTCAGGACGGGGGCCTGTCCGCCGGGACGAGGTGTCCCCGGACAGGGCAGGGGCCCTTGGAGCCTCACCAAGAGAGGGGGCACTGGTGCAAGTTTGACCCCGATGGTGGGCGGCTCACAAAAATACATCAGGAGGCCCGGAAGTCCATGCACTGGCCGGCTCCACCGCCTTTAAGTACACGAGGTCTATCTGCAGTTCTTAACCTCTTTGAGGGGACAAGGACTCCC